ACAACCCACAAGAACCTCTGTATTGGAGAAGCATATACACCTTCATCAATGACTTCACCAAGTATTACGGATCCAGTCTTAACATGACTGTGCATTATATCAATGTCCTTGGGTTTGGAGCACCACTCAACACCAGCGTGGTGTTGGTCACACCCACTCAGAAGAGACTGTACTATTCAGTGCCCGAAGTTCAGGTCAACACCACCACGACAATATCAGTGAAATGGCTGGAGAGTTTCTGGAGGGTTGTGGACACTAATGCTCCAGTGAGTAGAGGGGAGTTCCTCACATGTCTGGCTGATGTGAAGTGGCTGTTGCTTCCAGCTTCCTGGTCAACAGGGCCCCATGTCACAAGGTGAGTGGTGGATATATGTGTGGAATTTAAACTCAAGTAACCTTGAGGAAAGTTAATTTTAGTTGTGATAGTGTTCAAAATGACGAGTGTTACTTAAATAAGATTTATATTTCGACTTCTGAGGATTAAGATTAGAAAGAAAATATTCAATTTACACAGTATTAATGGATATTCAAGTGGGTAGCATTGATACACATGTAATTTTTCAATCCATGTTTTCAGTATTGAAGCTGTGCAGTATGAAGAAGCCTCCACCTCCGGCACTGGGTCCTTAGCACTATCAGTAGAACAGTGTGTATGTCCTCCTGGATATGATGGACTTTCTTGTGAGGTAAGACATTAAGTTCATTAAATATAAATGGTGGTGACAATAAAAACCATTCTTAATTTTATAAGTTATATAGTTTAATGCTTAAGAAATGTATGTGCCTGTTTGTGAATAGTTATCATTCATTTTCAATTTATCATCGGAAGAAATCATTTGTCATAAAAAAGGTTGATGGTGTCTTAAGGTATTTTAGAGTTAAAAACACTCTCTCAGCCAGCAACACAAAGGTATTTGCTAATTTCTTGTTAATCCATAACAGTGCAGAAGAGTTGCATATTTTGATTAATATGCCCCTGATATATTTATTCCAGAGATGTGCCACAGGGTACAAGCGTGAGAACTTGACCACCCATGGCTACCTGGGTGTGTGTATTCCCTGTGAGTGTAATGGCCATGCTGAGTACTGTGACCCAGACACTGGAGAGTGCAAGGACTGCAGGGATAACACCACAGGTATGGAGACTATATTGCCAGTGAAAGCACTCGGTCAATACCTACTTCAGATGTAATTACCTCAAATTAGTAGGTTGCCCCTTGTGGATAGCATGCTGCCTGTTCCTGTTAATGTAAATATTTTTATTTATGAGAATATAGATTTTACAGTTTGTCCAGTGGGCAACCTATTTATCATCTATTTGTGTAGGGATAAGATAAAAAATAAAGTGGGGTAGGTAAAAAAATAATACCCATATAATATAATATATAATTACTATAGGAGCAGAAATCGTATTGAGGGAATACAAATACTTTATTATAAGCTACAGTCTTTTGAGAATACAACACCAGTAGATATGCACATTCTTTTTGTTACAGTGTAACAACCACGCAAAATTATTCAATTTTCTATATTATTTAGGAACAAACTGTGAACTGTGTGCCATTGGTTACTATGGCGATGCTACCCAGGGTACCCCCAATGACTGTAGGCCCTGTCCCTGCCACAGCCCCAGGGTCATGGACCCCAGCTGTACTGAGGTGAACGGATCAGTGCAGTGTCTTAGCTGTGCTCTAGGTTATACTGGAGATATATGTGATAGGTAAGGGAATTAGTCTAATAAGGGAACTTCTGCTCTTGGGATGCATATACGTCTACTGCATTTCTCATTGGATGAATGCATATTAGAAGTGAGCATATATTGAATCTGTAAGACCTGAAATTTAAAGAAACAAAAAAATTAAGCCTTTAACTGTAATTTGGTATTTGGACTATATGCTAATAGTTTTAGCATTACATTCACATAAAAATGGTTTATTATTGGCCAAATTATTTTTTTACACATTTCTTCCTATTATATTTGTTCAATTTGGAGTGTATAATATAATATAATATAATATAATATAATATAATATAATATAATATAATATAATATAATATAATATAATATAATATAATATAATATAATATAATATAATATAATGTTCTGACTTCCAGCTGCTTACCATTCTTCTATGGCAACCCTGAGGTTCAGGGCACTGGCACCTGCACTGAGTGTGACTGTAATGGGAACTCCCTGGACTGTGACACCAGGACTGGGGTATGCTCAGGGTGCAGCTCCAACACCACTGGCTTACACTGTGAGAGATGTATAGAGGGGATGTTTGGAGACGCCTCGCAGCAGAATTGTAGAGGTAAAATTCAGTGCTGTTTATTTCTGTTAGTGTAAAACATGGAGATATAAAAAAGCAATAACGTTGCAATCAAATTTCTTCAGTTCATCTAGACTACAGGTTCAACATATTAAGTGTTTTGACCCTAGGCATAACAAGCAAAGGGTACTATTTTGATATTTTAGTCCAAGAGATTCTATATTCTTAGGTTGTGACTGTGTGATGACTGGCTCCACTAGCGCCATCTGTAATCACACCACGGGTCAGTGTGATTGCAGACCAGGAGTGGGGACCAGAGACTGTGGGAGCTGCCTGGAAAACTACTGGGGATACAATATCAGACCATTCAACAGTATGTATCACTGATATTGGTTGCTTGTTTCATTGCTTTGTTGTATGTGTAACTCACCATGAATCAGAGGTAGTGATGCATGGCCTTTCTCGGTCTTCCATGTTTGCAAGATGGGTGCATTTGTCCATAGATTTTACTTGTGGATGTGGGTAGATCATGATAACAACAAAAAATTTATTAATGAAGATTTCTGGAAAAAAACATATCAAACATGATAATTATATTTCAGGTTGCATACCATGTGACTGTAATGTGGCTGGCAGTACTACATTGCAGTGTGCTGGAGACACAGGTGTGTGTTCATGTAAGTCTCATACAGCTGGGGACAAGTGTGACCAGTGTGCACCTGGACTATGGGGGCTGCCATATAGACCATGTGAAGGTAAGTTATGTTAATGACACTGGGGTGTGGTAACCTAAGAGTAAGGACTGGAGGAAAGGTGAGGGCTGAACACCTGGATTTTGGTGACTGTCAGCCATATAAACTGTGTAAAGGTATGAACACAGTATGATACGTATATGAAAAACATTCAGATTATGGTAATGGGCTGCATAGTGACAGTATATTTTTACAAGGAAAAAGATCTCAGGCATTGCTTGTTAACACTTACATCTAATTTTAATTTTGAATAGAAAACTTTTTACTTATTATTTTTCATGTTTTCATTCTGGTTTCATTTCTCCTGTTCTACTTCCAGCTTGTGCCTGTAACACCACTGGTAGTGTGAATGCGTCAGCCCCGTGTGACACTGTATATGGTCAGTGTGAGTGTAAGCCTGGTGTGACAGGCAGGCAGTGCGACCAGTGTGAGAAATTTTTCATTGGATTTGGTCCTGCTGGATGCACTAGTAAGTATACAGTGTACAATGTCTTCTGGACAATCACAGTAAAGTCTCAATCTTTTCAATGGGGAAAGTTGTGGAAAATTGTGTTTTAGATAATGTATTTTTAAAGTCATAATTTCTTAAATTTTATGATTCAGAAATTATGATTCTGAAAGATTGATACATTTGCCCATTGAAAAGATCGATTTATTACTGTTACAGTTTACTTGTGTCACATGGCTGATATCTTCAGCCAACACACAGCATAAGGCATCTTTTAACAAATAGCGTCATGAAGTAGTAGTTGTCTGCTTTTAAAGCCTATGGCTCATTAAGTACATGCTTAGTTAGAATGGTATGTGTGTTTATGTAGTTATAATATATATATCCTTTTTTCATAACAGGATGTCTTGATTGCCAGTATTCACTGGGTACAGATACACTTGGTTTGCAAGACACCTGGCAAACTTACTGGAATGTCAGCAGTACTGTAGGGGGCCTTGTGGCACAAGATGCACAGCTCCAGCAGCTCACTCAGACACTGACGGGGACTCTGGACAGTATTGGATTCTCAGAAAGCACTCTCTTCTCCCTGGAGGCTACATTGAGGAACATTACAAATAAGGAAGCTGGGTACAATCAGAGTGTCATCAGTCTTCAGTCAAGGGTGAGGAAATTAATCTATATATTTATTTCTTTTTACTTTGCCAACATTGTTGCTTTAAATGAAATGCATCTAAACTGACTTGGTGATTTTCTCATGTTGACATTAATTTAGGTTCAAATGGCTGTTGATGCTGCTAATTCATTAAGAAATGAAGCAAGAGCAGAGCTGAACAGGCTGCAAGACATCAAGAATGATGTCAGGAGTGCACTGCAGAGTGCTCTAGAAATTGAAGCTGTATCTGTTGGTACAATAAGTCAACTGACCAACTACAGTGTGGAAGTAGGACAGGTACAGTGTTTAATGTATATATATTTTCATAGCTCCTATATAAATTATAAATTATAGAGGAAGAAGATTTAAAGAATATCTTGGTTATTTGCACATAATCTCATTTTAAAAATAAGCAAGTAAGAAGTTTTTGGAATTTGTTTCAATGACCAGTTGCAAACAATGTCATTAAACGAATACTTACATTCTATTATACAGCTCCTTGCCAAAAGCAGAGAAGTAAACAGGTATCTAAACCAGAACTTCTCGGCAGAGTTGTCCAGAACAGCAGCAGAATTGGCTGCTGGCATTGCAACAGCTACAGATGCACAGGCCACCAGTGAGCTGATTCAACAACAGGTAAGAATGAAGTCATTTCTGTCATGATATTTTTATGGGAATGTAACTATAACTAAACTATGTTTTGAATATCATGTTATCATTTTAGAACTCAATTTTGACATTGCTAAAGTTTTGCATCTCTATTTTCATCAGAGTGCCGAGTGTGCTAACTTAGAAGGTGCAGCTCTAAATGCCCAGTCTGCCCTGAGCCAAGTGGAGGCCAATATACAGGCCATAACCACTGCAGCAAGTAATGTAATGGCTGCCAGGGATAGAGTGATGGACATACTCAACCAAACTGAGGTACACATTTGATGGTTAACTTTCTTGTACACTAATATTCAGTAGGCCTGTGGAAAGTATGCTCTGATTTTATGAATACATTGTATTCCTTTGATGTTTAAAAGATGGCATCAGATTCAGGTATTTAGGATTTACATAATATAAATGTATTTGTAGATTTAAAATGTATTGCATACAAGGACATTACCCTGTTAAGATTTTTGGCTTATGTAAAATAATTGGTTCAAAACATTTTACTTTTAGTATCAAAAAAGCTATGCATTGACCCTCTTTAGTGAGGCAGAAGCCATACTAAACTTGACAGCAGTTACTTTGAATGCCAGCAGAGACTCCTTCCTTGAAGGCCAACAGGCATTTGCTGAGGCATCAGCAATTGTTGCAGATGGGATTCCAAAAGACAGTATGTACAGCCCACTATATTAATGCTAATTTGAAGTTACACTGCTTGCCATTATATGTAGTTTGGAGCATGTGCTAAGAAAAGAGAAGAGTTTTTTTATTTTATCAAGTACACATCTTCACAGCATAAAATTGAATGTGATTTGCCTCACTGAAGTGTAATGCAAAATGCTTTTTTAGCACTGCACAAAGCAGTATTAATTGATTTTGATACCAAAAAAATGTGAATGTATCTTAGACTATTGATTTGTGATTGTATAGAGACCTGAACCACAGAACCCCATCAAGATGAAGCCTTGAAGTACAGATTTGAGCAAATCACAGTCATTTATTTGGACTCCTCTAAATGTGGTGGAACTTGGGCAAAATTGTGGTTCACTGTATTGTGGACTGGGCTAATTTTTTGACAACTTCTTGGTCTTGATGGGTTCTTGGGTTTAGTGGGAGTGATAGCATGCTAGAATGAGGTTTATGCTGCATGTTGCCTGACACCTTTGTAGCCACAATTGCTTTTTACCCTTTTCTTCTTGCCTTGGAGACAACAGTTTGACAGAATGCTTTAGTGCTCCTTGAACTGTTTCTCTTATTTTACAGTTCTGATATCCAGCTACATTTCCTGTTTTTTTTTTATTATTATATCCCTAACTCATCATGATAATTGTTTTTATTTCTAACTTTTTCTTGAACCTAATGCATTATACAGACATGGTCACTGTGAAACTCAGTGACAATAAAACACAAACTCCTGGATGTCTGCCTCTTGCTCTCTGTATATATATTCTGTATCTGGAAGAATTATCCTCCCAATATCCTTCACATGAGTGAATTATCTTTCCCCCTCCATTTCCCCCCTTGATGAGTGACATGAAAGTGGGTTTGGTTCTGCTAACAGATGCATGCAGGTTTATAGGTTTATATGTGATCCATGTACAAATTTCAGACCAAATTCCTCTGGATGCTGCAGGTCACCAGTACATGATAATGTTTATGGAGAACAGAGTAGAGAATGGGCCCAAGTACAGATACCTGGAGCTGTTCATCACCCCAGCAGGCATAGAAACAAACAATGTGACAGTCCAAATAAACCAGGTGTACAATAGTGCTATACCAAACATGACCTTTGTGGTCAGTGCAGGAGAGGTGAAGAAGGTGAACATATCTGTTGAGCTCAGGATGCAAGGATCTGTCATGACCAGGCAGGGTCTGGAGATTTTGGCCAGTGATAGAATAGTTGTCTATGCCTTGAACAAGGATGAATTCTCCACTGATGGGTTCCTGTCCCTTCCCAGAGAATCTCTGGGGACAGACTACTACACAGTCTCGTATTACCCTCCTAATTATAAAACACAGGTGGGTGTGGCAGCTATGGAGGATAACACTGAAGTGATCATCACTTTGCCACAGCAGACCTTCACAAGCAGTCGCGTGTTTGTGCTGTACAGGGACAATATTTTCAGGAATGGTAACTCGTTCACAGTGATGATGAACAAGTTTGATACTCTCCAGTTACAAGACGAGGTAGCTGCTGATTTGACAGGCACTCGCATCCAATCCAGCAAACTAGTGGCAGTGTTTAGTGGGAATGTACGGACTAATGTGGGACAAGGCACCCGTTCTAGGGATCACTTGGCTGAGCAGATTCCACCAATCAGCTCATGGGGGAGGAACTTTGCAGTGGTGCCAATTCCAAATCGTACCACTGGAGATGTGGTCAAGATAGTTGCCAGCCAGCCAAATACAGAACTGATTGTTGCTAATGCTACAGAAGAAAGGGTCTATACACTCACTCAGGCAGGGAGTAGTAGAACGCTCCTTCTACCATCATCTACTTACTGTTTCATTGCAGCAACAAAACCTATCCTTGTAGCTCAAATTGTTTATAGTCAGTTGACAGAGGAGAGCATTGAAAAGGCTGACCCTTCAATGATCCTCATCCCGTCCATTGAGCACTACAGCTCCAACTACCATTTTGCCCTTCCAAAGCCCTCCGTGGGCAACTACACCCACTACTTTCTGATAGCCATTGAGGACAGTGCCAAGAATGGGGTCATCCTTGATGGTCAGCCATTGCCCAGTGCTGCCCTCTGGCACCCTATCCCCTTCACCACCTTAGTGGGTGGGTATTTTGTGGTCAGTGGAGACCAGGCACATACCATTACCCACACTGACCGCTCAGTGACCTTCATGGGGGTTATGTATGGAGCAGGAGACAGGGAGAGCTATGGACTGCCTATTGGGATGAGGGTACGAAACCAGGTAGGTCAACTGATTTTTATGGTTAAATTTCAGAAAAATTTAGATTTTAGTAGTTTAAGAGAAGAACATTTCCATTTCATTGCTTATGTTATAAGTAAGTCACAAATATCCTGTCTTTACATTTTTGTATATGTTTATGTTGATTATCTATTTTCTTCTTTTTCATCTCTCCTCAGTATGAAGTTACAGGTATGTCTTTTTCAGTACTGTTTCATTCTCATGAAAAACAATAGCAAGCAATCATAATTTCATGCTTTCTTATCTTGGAGTCAATGTGTATATTCTTAGGGATAAAGTGGTGTGTTAACATTTTCAGATATAGATGCCTTATCCTTTTCGATAAAACTATCTATTGCATGTTCTTACAAAAAGTGGTTGTCATTTAAGTTTCTATATGTATATATTTCAGCACTTCAAACAACATTGGAATCATCAGGCAAAAAGTTTGTGGTAATGTATATGGAGAATAGGATCGAAATTCCTACTCAGCCTTTTGTGGAGCTGTTTGTAACCCCAGCAGAGAATGTGTTCAGTGTACTGGTCAACATCAACCAAGTGTATGACCAAGCATATGGCAACCAGACACTGGTCATTCAGGGAGGCCAAGTCAGGAAGGTGGACATTCCAGTCAGTTTTAGAGTAGTGGGGAATTCTCTTACTAGGCAGACCCTAGAGATCACCAGCTCAGAAGCTGTGGTGGTATATGGAGTCAACAAGGATGAGTATTCCAGTGATGCCTTCCTGGCTTATCCTACTACTTCACTGGGGAAGGAGTATTATGTAGTGTCCTATGCACCTCCCACTATTAGCACAGAGTTGGGGATAGCTGGGGTGCATGGTAATACCAGAGTGAGTGTCACTTTCAGTCCTAATGTTCAGGTGTCATATGGTAGTGTCACATACGGTGGTGGTGACACTCTGACAGTGACATTGAACCAGTTCTCATCTCTACAGCTACAGAGCCAGTTTGGGGATTTGACTGGGACACGTATAGTATCAGACAAACCAGTGGCAGTGTTCAGTGGAAATGTCCGCACCAGTGTCCAAGGCAACTCCAGAGACCATCTTGTAGAGCAGCTGACTGCTGTTCAGTATTGGGGCACCGAGTTTGCTACTGTACCCGTACCACAGAGGACTGTAGGGGACATCTTCAGGGTTGTGGCAAGTGCAGACAACACGATTGTTAATGTTCGAAATTCCAGCAGTGTTGTGACATCTTCTATCAACACTGCAGGGGGATTTGTACAACTACCGCTGGATTCAGCAACTTATTACTACATCACATCCAACTTCCCCGTGCAAGTTGTGCAGATAGTGAAAAGTCAGTTAAATGGTGAGCTCGCAGATCCCTCCATGTTCCTGCTGCCCCCTGTAGCCAGATACAGCACAGGGTACCACTTCTCTCTCCCAGCACAGGCAGCCACTGGGAGCTACACCCACTACTTCATGCTGGTTATAGAGAACAAGGACAAGCATGGCTTGCTGCTGGATGGACAGCCCCTGAACACAGTCCAATCCCTGACTTGGAACAATATCCCAGGGACATCACTGGTGGGGACATACTTTGAGCTCTCTGGGGACCAGTCTCACTTCATGACCCACTCTGACCCTAGTGTCACCTTCATGGGACTCCTGTATGGTGCTGGGGATAAGGAAAGCTATGGTCTACCTATTGGACTGAGATTTGCAGATAATTTGGTGAGTGCACTTATAAGTCTTATAACGATGAAATTGATTTGTAATATTAGAGTATGCAAATTTACCATTAAATGATAATTTTTGAAATAAGAGAACAAGAGCCATTTTATTATTTTTTAAATTGATTGTTTTCCTTCTTATCATTTCAGGAGGGAATACAAGGTAAAGAAACCTTTTAATAACCTATATTTTTGTGGCTAAATCATCAAGATATTAAACTACCAAATGCAAATGTGTTGTTTTACTTATTAATGTTTTGTGTGGAGATTGCATTTGTGTAGCTTCAGAATGATTTTACGACTGAAACCTGAAGTGAAATGAGATTAAACTAACACACTGTTTTACAGTGCACGCTTTTTTGTGAGTAACCCAAGCTTTTTTGCAACTATTATAGCTGCACCACCAACAATAGATGCAGGTAGAGAATACATGGTTGCTTTCATGGAAAATAGAATCGAAAATCCTAAATACCAGTACCTGGAGCTTTTCCTCACTGCAGCAGGGGACGCTGTGGCTGATATATCCGTCAGCATATCACAAGTTCATGACAGAAATCTTGGTAATAGTTCTGTGGTTTTGAGACCAGGAGAGGTGACACGGGTAAATATTTCTGTACAGTTGAGAATGGAGGGCACCACTCTATCAAGGCAGGGAATAGAAGTGAAAGCCTCGGGGAATATCATCCTGTATGGTCTGAACAAGGATGAGTATTCCACTGATGCATTTTTGGCCTTACCACAGAATGGCATTGGCACAGATTATTACACTGTCTCTTACTCACCGGCCACCACCAAGACAGAGTTTGTCATTGTGGGGACCAGAGATGACACTGTGGTCACAGTGACCCTCCCAAATAGAAACAATGTAGCAGTCCAGTGGGCAGGTCAAATATATTCCAGAGGAGAGACATTCAAGTTGATATTGAACAGGTTTGATACAGTCCAGATCCAGAGTCCAGACTCTAACTCAGACCTCACTGGCACCCACGTCCAGTCTGATAGACCAGTGACAGTCTTAAGTGGAAATGTTAGGACTCAGGTCGGCCAAGGAGTGTCCAGAGACCACCTGGTGGAGCAGATCCCTCCTGTATCTTCATGGGGGAGAAACTTTGCCACGGTGCCTATACCAAACAGAAGCACGGGGGATATTTTTAGAGTTGTTGCAAGCCAGGATAACACTATTGTCACCATAAGGAACACAGATGGTGACCAAGTCAAGATTTTAGATTCAGCAGGAGGATACACAGAGTTCACTATATCATCTACTGCTTACTCCTATATTACGTCTAACCATCCCATATTGCTTGTCCAGATTGTAAAAAGTCAGGTGTCATCATCAACATCTGAGGTGGCTGACCCAGCTATGATGGTGGTCCCACCTTTTGAGCATTACAGCAATAATTACCACTTCTTATTGCCTTCCGGTGTGGCTGATACTTATGTCCACTATTTTCTGTTGGTCATTGAGTCTGACCTGAGAAATGACCTAAGACTGGACGGTACATTCCTGACTGGGTTGCCATGGCAGAGTATACCTGGAACAAATAAAGTAGGCACCTTCTTTGAGGTTACTGGGAGCCAAGCCCATGTACTGAATCATGTGAACCCCAATGTAACATTTATGGGGATGCTGTATGGAGCTGGTGACAGGGAAAGTTATGGACTGCCAATAGGCATGCGATTAGTTGAAAACGTGGTGAGTTGAAATTTTAAAGAACTTGATTGGAATACAATTATCTATGCATGTTTTATTACATAAGCCTGAGTTTATGCAGTTAATAGGGCTTGTTTTGCAACTGTATACTCAAGTATGGTAAATATTGCAGATGATGCATAATACATTTGGCTATGCAACAGGAAAGCACACTGAGCACAAAACACATTTTGCCAATGTTTAATCAATTTGCCATAGCACTTTGTTTGAAAGCATGAATTTTATTGTTTTTTGCACATTTTTTACATTTTACCTAGGATCAAGGAGGTAAGATTGGATAACTAGAAACCAATAGTATAAAGCTTTGTGATTCTTGTGACTTTTTCCTTATCCTTTTGTCCTTTTAATTAATATGTAAGCTTTACATTTTCTATTTTTCAGTATCTTAATCCCCAAAAGCTGAATAATTAATCCCTGACTTTCTTGAAACTTACCATCAAAACATTTCTTCTTTTGTATCAGTCTGAGTTTTGACTTTTACTATTTGATAATAGCCAGTGGTACAGCTGCATTACTATTCATCATTATACTATGTTTTCCATTTCATGACTAGGACAAAATGCATCTACAGGTTAAAGCTTTGTTTTGAAATAATGATTATTATATATGATTATGCACAGTGTATGTGTTAGTCAGGCACAGGTGCTGTTGGGTAGGGAGTAGTATATGTATACATGTATGGAGTATGGGTCTGTGTCAACATAAGTATTGGGTTGTTTTCATTTTCTATGTACATATTACACTACATAATGGCATTTTCAAATACATTATCTCTGCTTGCTAGCTGACCATCTTTTAGTGTTGGCATCTTTGAAGTTTTTCTCTTTTTGAATTCTCTGTGAGGGAATTGTTTAACCGTAATCACAGAAATATATTCACTGCAACGACATATTTGTAAAATAATCATGATGAGGATGTCCATTTTCACTGAATTAATGAATTTCACATTGAAGTTGAAATTTCAGTAAATCTTTTTTTATTTTAAATGATGATTTTCTGAATTTTGGGGTTTTATTTATAAAAAAACCCTTTTAGACTGTAAGATTAAAACTGAAAAGTAAAAATTAGGATATTTGTACATTTTTACATTTTTAATATAGAATTTGTGTCAATATCATATTTAATGTGTCATATATTAACTGTACCTTTTTAATGTAGGTTTTGAGAGCTGGACCAACATTTCCATGCAGTTGAGGACTTTGTCCAACAGTACAGAGCAGCTGATGCTGGACACACAGGTCTTAGTACAGCAGGCAGAACAACATGCCCAGACTGTCACTGCAGCCGCACAGGCTATTCAAAGGTACTGCTGTGTGAAAATCTTGTCCTATTGTACTTGTGATATGATGTTTAAGAATTCATAGCAATAATAATGTAGTCATACAAATGACGGATGACAATCAAAATCTGAAAGAGTTTGTTTTGCCTTGAATCTGCTTTGATTTGTTTGAATATTTAAGTTGCCATTGTTTGGTGTGGATACTAGTAAGATATATCAAAGACACCTTTACTGGATCATACTGAATCCAGTGTTGTCAAATTTTTAGTAAAATGATTTGCCTTATTTTTACAATAAATACATTTTTAAAAATGACATTAAAGGTGTAGTTTAACCATCTATACATCTCCTTACTGTGTTTCCAGGGAGTTCTCCCTTGTAGAATCCAGAGGTGCCATGGCAGTGGATGCTATACAAAAGTATCAAGATGTTGCCAGAACTCTGAACTCCTCTCTCTACCTGGCTCAAGATGCCAACAACACAGTGACTCAGGCCATGCAATCCATGCAGGACATCACAGTGGTAGACCTCCAGAACCAGGCACAGACCAGCTCACAGGCTAGCTTAGACATGAAGGCCCAAGTTGATGCAAGGGTTATAAATCTTGCAGGTAATTATGGTTTAGTGACTTGGTTTATTGTAGATTTTCTATATTTTGGATTAGGTTATTGCACTCAAAAGGAGTCCTTGTTATCAAGTTATCAGTAAGGTGAATACACTTGGTACTAAGTTTGTACTATGAAGGTTATTTTTTTCCATTTTTGGGCATTCTTTTATGGACAGGATATTCATGATGGCAAATGAGAGCTAACACAGCGATACTCATAAATTCATCATACATTATTTTAAGTTTAGGCAATTTTCATATTTCTATATCAATAAAAGTTTTATAAAGTTACTTTTTTAACCTAGGCAAAGTAATCAAACTGAAATTTTCTATGATCATGTAAAGCTGTGCTGTATGTTAGCCTGTCTTTGAATTTATAACAGATAATATTCTGCTAAATATATATGTATATATGTGAACCAATTTGTTTGATTAGGTCTCAACTCCCAATTGAATTCTGCCAACTCCAGTCTGCAGTCAGCAGTAGGCATGTGGTCTGGGTTAGAGACACAGATAGCCAACCTGGAGACAAGAGCTGCGCAAGTGAATGCAGCTTCTACAGGTACACAGGCACTATACATAGATATAACAATAATACTGCCTTGTATTATTACATTGCTTCCTGATCTTTGTTGCGGCAGTCACCAGTGCTGTGTGCCACATTTCTGTGAAATTATAAGCAGTTTTACATTGGGTATTTTTAAACAGGAACAATCTCGAATATCAAAAAATCATTTCTGTTTTTCAAAAGGTTTGTTTTCAAATTTTCAGATCCAGGCATTATGACCTTGCTGGACTCAGCTAACACTACAGCCACCCAGGCTCAACAGCTGAGTGACCAGGTGCTCCAGGCTGACCAGAGTGACCAGAGCCAAATCCAAGCTCAGGAGGATCTTGTAGCTGTCATACAGACCAGTGTGAACAGCATATCAGTGGTCACTGCACAAATTAATGCAGAATGTAAGTTGATTTGAATTGAAATGAATTTGATGTGTAGGTTTTTTTTTTCAATTTTTTTGTCGATGGAATTGCTGAAGAAGTTGCTGGAATTTTTTAAAATATACTTTGTAAAAGAAATACATTTGTATCCCATTGCAGTGAAATGATGTATCAAGTAACTGAGGCAATTCTAAAATATTGAGGAACATAGATAAGGGTTATTTGAAGAGAGACAGTGGCTAAAAATATTTTTTTGTATACCTTGTGTCAGCCTTTTGAAAACCCAATTTTCCAATTTTCAGTACAAAGCTACAATATAATGTACAGTCAGATGCAGAGTCGACTGACAGCAATCAACCAATTCCACAGTGAAACTAATGCCACAAGATACCGACTATCAGCAAAGATGGCGAGCATAGAGGCCAAGCTTGCTCGTGCCAAGCAGCTGGCTTCTAGCCTTGAGCGCCCTGTGAGCTTCCCAGGCACTGCACACATCACAGTGCAAAACCCATCCCAAGAGAGCAGAATATTCAATGAGCTGTCCCTGGAGTTCAGGGCAAGCCAGGAGAATGCTACAGGGGTGATCTTCTATGCTGATGGCACAGCTGATAACTCCTGGCTAGCTCTGTATGTGAACCATGGTACATTGGTGTTTGAATTCAACCTGGGGAGTGGCATAGTAAGAATGGAGAGCTTAGCAACTGTTTGCAGTGGCTGCTGGCTCAAAGTTTTAGCCAACAGGTAAGCTGATAGCAGCATCTAGGCTGCTGTGATGTCATGGATACTAGAAGTTAATGACAATGACTTGAGTTTGTACGATACCTTAAGCCAGTAATATTTATATAAGTGGAAATTATCTTTTTGATAAGTAAAGGAATACTAGTGGTTATTCATTTAGAATAAAAAGAGTTATTTTAAGATGTTATTGGTATCATAAATTCTTCAGGGATAAAAAAGGAAGTAGATGTTAATACATGTGAATATTACTCAAAAGGTACACCAGTACTGGTCACCTGACAGTGACCAGAATGTCCACAGGTGGCTCTACTACAGCATATGGAGAAAACAATGTGGGGAACTCCCTTCAACTGGGGGCTGACTTGGTCCTTGCAGGAGTGCCATCCAATGCTAAGGTATGTGAATCTGCTTAAGGCCAAATTTTAAGGTGCACAAAATATGATTTGTTTAGACTTTTTATCATATAAAAAAACATCTTATGGGCTTATGTATTCACTGACTTATAATAGAAAACAAAGGAGGTGATCTAGTTTCTTTTTAATGCTTGTATCTAGACTGATATAATCTTTTTTATAGTAGTGTGAAAATTTATCATGATAGTCAGCAAATAATTTTTGGAATGTGTCAGACAATGCATAACTCAAGTCTTTGTCATTGACCTCTCATTTAAGGCTTCTGGTCTACCTACAACAAAGTTCCCAGGATGCATAACAAACTTGCATGTAGACAACATCAGGGTAGACTTGTGGTCAAAGCAGATAGAGAACAGCCTTGGATGTTGCACAAGACCAGTCACCCCTGCTCCTGAGGCACTTCTTCCAGGGGTCAGCTTTGATGGTTTTGGCCACTTACATGTGAACCCAGGAAGATTCAGTGCCTTTGGGCAGTCTAGAGTTTCGCTGGAATTCAGAACATTCAGTTATAATGGAGTGTTGATGTTGGCGGAGAAAGCTGGTAGCAGTGTATATTATGGGATGTATTTGCAAGATGGACGCCTGATATTCGAATATGGTACTCCTGGCAACACTCAGGCACTCCGTAGCAGTGTAACGTACAATGATGGTGACTGGTATAAGGTACATTTTGACCTAATTTACATGATGTGACCCAAATAAAATTTCCTAAATGAAATACATATAATCAAGTGTGCATTAGGTCACATGCAATGTGCTTTAGTCGGAAAAAATGTTGTTTTTTTTTATGTATCATGTATATTGTGTCATTTTTATGTTTTTTCAAGGTGGACATAACAAGAAATGCAACATATGCAAGTTTGAACCTTCAGAGGGTCAGTGACAATGGCAATAGTATTTTGGAGATAAAGTCTGTGCGAACTCCAGCCATCACATTGTCAGAACTGCAGAATGGAACACTGTACTTTGGTGGTGTTCCACAATCTTCTTCAAGGTAAAGCCTTTCATTTATTTATTTATTTATTTATTTTTGATTTGTAACTATATTTTTTTGTTGTTGTTGTTGTTGTTGTTGTCATATATATGCACTACCATGCAGAACATGTTTTATGTTTACCTTTAGAAATTTTACATACTCTATCTTTATACTATTCCAGTGGCATTCCAATGAGTAGTAGCTTTGCAGGCTGTATAAGAGAGGCATACTATTATGTCAATAGTTCTAGCCGTGTGGCGATGATCCCCAGAGAAATGGTTAACAGCAGCATTGCGGTGTCACTAGATGGATGCTTCAGAAATGTAAATATCGGTTATGCCATGATATTAACTTATAGCAGTGAATTCAGATTTTGTATCATAAAATGGGGGTAGAGTATTATCACAAAGGAAAGTCATGCAACATATATGAGTATTAAGACTTTGGTTATATTCTAAGTAGACCCCTTTAAAAGAATTCAGTTAAAGAATTTATAATATGTTAGCATTACATGAAAAAATTTAAGGGGGAAATATACCAATTACTCTTAGTCCAGGAAATTGGTGAAAAATTGTGCATTTTTTACCTACAAGCATGAAATTTGGCACACTTATGGACAATAAAATTCTAAGCAAATTTGGATATATGGGCATGTCTGAAAATTCCAAAATGGCCGTCAAATCCAATATGGCCACCAAAATACCTTTTCAAATTAAAACTTCAAGTAAATAGTCTTCTAATGACTAAAAATATCATATAAAGGTTAGAAAACACCATGGTATGAATCCTTCAGGTGTATTAAATCCAAAATGGCCGCCAAAAGTAAAAAAAGCAGACCATTTATTCAAGATATCCATTTGAATGGGGAATTCATCAAGCACTTAAAACTACAAGCATAAAATTTGGCAGGTTTGTGGAAAATGAAATTCTGAGCAAGTTTGGATGTATGGGCATATCCGAAAATTTAAAAATGGCCTTCAAATCCAAGATGGCCTCCAAAAATACGGCTTCTAATTAAAACTTCAAGTATATAGTCTTTTAAGGGCGTAAATATCATACAAAGGTTAAAAAACACCACGGTATGAATTCAGAATCAA